AGTCTGATAGCTAAGGAGCTTGTTACTAATTCACCCACAGTCATAGACAGAATTGGGCAACAGGAGCCCTTGTGAATTCTAAGCTTGGAAGAAAAGAGGATATTTAAGATTCCAAAGAGTGAGAAAAAGAAGAGGCACAGCCACACGTGAATAGTGCTCATTCCCCACTATTAAATAAATTATTATTGATCCTCTGGGGATAAGTTAGTGAGGGATGAGAAGAGGTGAGAATTCAGGAATAACAGTATAACAAATCCAGATGGAACTTAGAGGAGGGGGAATAAGTGTTCTTTACTGTAATTTTAGAACAATGTAGTATATTGGGTTGAATTAATAGGGAGGCTAGAGAAATAAAAGCACTTTGCCCTGTAACAGTAATAAGTTGGAGCACCTGGGCTAGAACTCTGTTTCTTACCCTCTGTTTAGGACTCTTACCATGTCACACAGTCTTCAAGAGTAAATATCCATTTGCATCTCTTGATTTTTTTCCCCCATTTTCATAGATCGATTTTTCAGGGTTTTGCTGCTGCCAAAAGTCACACTTGAGTACTTAGACCCTGGACTGCGGTGGTTTAGATAAGCAGTAGCACCACGTAATTTGCCGTACTCACTTTCTTTAGTAGTAGGATGTGGCCATGTGGTAGTAAATTTGAAAACTTACTGGTATTAATATTAATATGCATTTGCATGTTAATAAACATTGTGGTATTTCTAATATATGCTATTATAATTATAACCATACTATTATATAGTATTATATAATAACATTCAGCATTGATTCAGCAAATACTATTGGGGTTCTATTGATAGATGATGTCAGAAATGAGCAGAAACAGTCTCTGTGTTGCAGACAGTGAACTAGCAGAGTGAAGGCCTGTGGTGGAAAGGAGTGTGTTGCATTCATGAAACTAATAGTTGCTAAATGACCTAAATACAGAGGAAAGGGAGAGATAGTTAGATGCTAGACCATGGAGGGCCTTATAGACTGTTTTAAGGCTGTTGGCCTTTAAGACCAATGAGAAAGCAGTAAAGGATTTTAAACTGAGGGGAGATAGCATGATCAATACTTTAAAAAAATTATTCAAGTGCAGTGAGAATGGGTTTGAAGGGGAACAGCAAGGATATGGGTTAGGAGCTTGTTGCAGTACTCTCAGCTAGAGATGATAGTGGCTTGAAGCAGAGTAATAACAATGTAAATGGAAAAAGTGGAAGGCTTCAAGATATTTTAGAGGTGAAGTTGACAGAAGTTGCTTATGGTTGTTGTTGGAATGTGAGAGAAAGTGGTTGAAACTGTTCTGAAGTTTCTGCCTTAAGCTGCTTCATGATTTATGGGACCCCTCACTGACATTGGCATCACTGGAAGAGAAATAAATTCGTAGGAGGAAGAACTTGGAACATACTGAAGTGCCTTTGAAGCATCCAAATTGGAATGTCATGTAGGTAGTGAGCTTTGTGGGTGTGGCACTCAAGGCAGAGCTTTGAGTGGGAGACCTGTCTGGGATAGTTAGTTAGCCTAGGTGATTTAAATTGTAGTTGTGGGTGAGATTGCTTAGAGAAGTGTTTTCAACTTGGACTGCACGTTGAAATCTCTTTAACTTTGAAAAAAATATCACCCACCCCAGAGATTTCAATTTAATTAAGCCAGGGTAAAGCTTGAGCATTGGACTTTTAGAAGTTTGCCAGATAATACTGATGAGCAGTCGAAGTTGAGACCCACTGGCCTAGAGAAAGCATAGGCTAAGACTAGAAGGGAAAGCGGGTTTGAACCTTGAGGAACACGATGACCAGAGAAGGATGAACCTTCACAAGAGAGTATTGAGAGGTGGCCATGGAGGTAGGATGAAGACTAAGAGTGATGTTGTCGAAGTAAGTGAAAGTGGCTAGCAGTCTCTTTCTTCTGAGAAACTGGTTCAAATGGAGCTTGGATTTGGTAACATGAATGTCATTTAGTTACTTTAGGGAGAGCTGTCCATAGGAAGCTTGGGACGAGAAGCCTGTTAAATGGAGTTGAGAAACATGAGGAAATAAAGACAGCTATCATAGTCTGCTTTTAGAGGTGTTGGGGAGAGAGAGAGACCCAGTGTGGAGCTCGTGAGGTGTGCCATTGAATATTTTGGGCTACAGGTAACAGACTGATTGAACTGACTTAAATGGTGAAGAAAACTTATTTTATTCAAGAGTTCCAGAAGAAGGTGGCTCTAGGTTTGTGTGTAATCAGTGACACAACAAGGTCATCAGAGACCTAGGTTTTTCCAGCCTCAGTGTGTGCCTTGGTCCTCAGGATGTCTCTTCAGGATGGTAGGATGGCTACTGGAATTCAAGCACTCCAGCAAAAGGAGGACACGTTTTTCTTGTAATCTTTAAAAAAAAAAATCTTAATATATATGCTGAAAATTATATAAATCCTAGCTGGGCTCCGTGGCTCAGCCTGTAATCCCGCGCTTTGGGAGGCTGAGGAGAGTGAATTGCCTGAGCCCGCGGGTTCGAGACCCGCCTGGGCAACTTGGTGAGACCTCATCTTTACAATCGAAAAATCAAAAACTTAGCCAGGCGTGGTAGCGCGCCCCTGTAGTTCCAACTACTTAGAAGGCTGAGACGGAGGGATTGCCAGAGCCCAGCAGGTCAAGGCTACGGTGACCGGGGGCAGCCACTGCACTCCAGCTTGGGCGACAGAGTGAAACTCCAACTCAAAAAAAGAAAAGAAAAGAAAATTATATAAATCTTAAGTGTGTAAGTTAAATTTTCATAAATCAAACAGCTGTAACCAGCACACAGATCACAACCCCAGTACCCAGAAGTTCACCTTGTATCTCCTTTCAGTCAAAACTCACCTGTCTTCCTCCTCCCAGTCAAAATCCATTTCCTTCACCTGGATAACTACTAACCCAACTTCCATAGGTTGATTTTTCCTGTTTTTGTGCAATATAAATGGAATGATATACTATGTGCTCTTTTATGTTTGACTTTCAGCATTGAGACACATTGTTGCATATAGTTTTAAAATGTTCATCTATTGCATGAATATACCACATTTTACCTTTCTATTGTTGATGGGCATTTGGGTAGTTTCTAGTATTTGGCTTTTACAAATAGTGTTGTCGTGAACATATGTATTCATTTCTGTTGGATGTATAATCAAGGAGTAAAATTGTTGGGACAGAGTATGCTTTTATCCATTTTAATTTTCCTATGTGGTTATATCTTTTTAAACTCTTACCAGCAGTGCATGACAGTTTCAGTTCTGTGCCCTCACCAACACTTACTATTTTCCATCTTTAATTTTAGACATTCTGGTAGGTGTATAATGGTATAGCACTATGATTTTAATTTGCATTTCCATAAATTAAGAACATTTCAGTTGAACATCTATTCATATGGTTATTGACCATTTGGATATTTCTTTTGTGAAATGCTGTTTAAGTCTTTGCTATTTTTTTCTCTTGAGTTATATGTCTTACACATTCGTAGGAGTTTTTTGTTTATTTGTGTTGTGAATATGAGTCATTGGTTAGACATAGTATTGCAAATATCTGCTCATACTTGGTGGCTTGCATTTTCACTTGTTTCTTTTAGTTCTTCTAGTAACTTGTTTCTTTTCACAAGCAAGTTACTAATTTTAAAATAGTACAGTTTACCTACTTTTCCCTTTTAACTCTTTTTGTGTCCTGGTTATGATCTTTGCCTATTCCAGGGTAACTAAAATGTATATATTTCTGCTAAAAGTTTGATTGTTTAACTTTAATGTTTAGATATGTAGTCCATTTGTACTTGGGATTTGTGTTTAGTGTGAGATAGGACTCAAGATTCATACTGATGTCCAAAAGACATTAAATGCCCAGCACAATTTATTATGAGTATATTTTCTCCAGGCACAGCAGTACTTTGCTATAAATCAGTTGATTATATGTAAGAATCTGTTTCTGATTTATTCTATTTGTTGGTTAGGTTATCTAGCCTTCTGTAGCTTTTTTGGGCAGATAGCCTTTTAGTAGGTATTAGTATCTGGCAGTATGAGTAACCTAGCTTTTCTCTTCCTTGTAATCTCTTTTTAAGCATGATAAATTAGTATACATGTGATTATGAAACGATGAAACAACAAATCTTAAACTAGATAAATATGGACGTAAAAAAAGAGAAGGTAGATAAGTCAGTGAGTTAGGCATCTTGAGTAGATAGTAGGAATCGTTGAATAAGTAAGATGGAATAAGTTAGGACATAGAGAATTAGTGATTTTGGAGTTTGAACATTTTGAGTGGTGCTGTTTTGAGTTGCCCAGGGATGTGGTAGGTGGCTGAGTGGGGCCTGAAGGGAAGCCAGGAAACTGAGAGACTGGTCTGGATCTGTTATGCTTGAGAGTTTACATAGTATGTTTTCTAGTGTAGTAACTAATATTTATCTCAAAACAAGTAGAATAGAATTATTTCCCTCATTTTATAGATGAGAAAGTAGGCCCAGAGAGGTTAATAACTTCCTAAAATTTCCAACAAAATTAGTGATTGAGTTAGCCCTAACCTGGGTCTCATGTCCCAGCTTCCATGCTCTGTTCAGTATAGCTTAGCTGATGTGGTATATAAAAGACCTGGGAGTTTTAATTTTGGAAATCAGAAGTCTTAATGACATGCAGAAATAGTGTAGAAAAACATAAAAATAATATAAAGTTATACATAGATAAGATATTGATAAGATATGTGCAAGAAATACTCCAGAAATATTAGAAGTTGCTATTCCTGGGTAATTGTGATTATAACACTGGGTGACTTTTTCCTTTTGATTTACTTTTCTGTATTTTCCAAATTTCTTATAATGGATGTATATTATATGAATTTTTAAAAATTAAAAATATTTTTTGACTAGACATGTATAACATGGAAAATTTACAAAGTACAAATAGATTTTGGAGTTTAAATAGTATATATAATACTTTTACAAAAGTATATGTAATACTTTTATAATAAAAGAATGAAAATGTTTAAATACTTTATCCTTGTTTTTCTTTTTAGAAATGCGCTTGGTGATGGGAAGAGAGCCACTATTCTGAAGAACACTTGGCCAAAGGTAAGTTTCTTCTATATTTTACACTGAGCAAATATTGCCACACAACTTTGTGAAAAGTCTGTTTATGGGATGTGTTGGTGAATAAAAATGCTATATGAAATTATGCAGAGCTCAAGAATATGAAAGGAAAATTTTCAGTTCCATGATCAGCATGGGTATTCAGCCATAGCAGTGAGAGGCTGTGCATGTGAGAAGGACAGGTAGGCCATGGGAGATGCTGAAAGTCTTGAGGGAGCCTTAGCAATTGAGAGTAACTGCTGCACATTCTGGTTGAATGTGCCTGAATGAGAAAAATGTGGAAGAAACTGTAAGAGACTGTCTTTATAGAAGATAGGGCCGGGCTCGGTGGCTCAGCCTGTAATCCCCCGCCTTTGGGAGGCTGAGGTGAGTGGATTGCCTGAGCCCGCGGGTTCGAGACCCGCCTGGGCAGGCAAGACCTCATCTCTACAATAAAATAAAAAAATTAGCCGGGCGTGGTAGCATGCCCCTGTAATTCTGGCTACTCGGAAGGCTGAGGCGGAAGGATCGCCAGAGCCCAGCAGGTTGAGGCTGCAGTGGCCAGGGGCCACTGCACTCCAGTCTGGGCGACAGAGTGAGATTCCAACTCAAAAAAAAGAAGATAGGAAAGGATTTCTTAACTCACAATGCAAAAATCAGCAATGAAAAGGAAAAAAAAATCCTTGATATATTCAGCTATAACAAACTTTAACACTTCTGTGTATCAAAATAAATGAAATAGTAGTTTGGGAGGAGATAATTTGTCACATATATAATTTATGACTCATAGACTTTAAATCCAGAATATGCAAAGAACTCCTAACATAAGTAAGAAACCTAGTGAAAAATGAGCCAATAAGATAAGCATTTCAGAAAAGAATACTGCTGAATGGTCAATAGAAATACAAAACTATGTTCTATTATTTCATAATTAAAATTACATGGGATTGGTACAGAAATAGAAAGAAAAATGAAATCAATCAAGCAGAATGGAGGACCTCCAGACAGACCCCCACATATACATGATTAAATAACAATGTGATATTGTTTGGGTCCTTCAGATTGGCAAAAATTAAGGATACCAATAGTCTTGAGTATGGTGAGTGTGTGTAGTAACAGGAACCCTCTATAAACTAGTGGGAGTGGGAGTTACTTACAACTGTCTTGGAGAACACTGTCATGTACATACCCCATAATTAATTGATTCTGAATGTGTGCACCCTAGAAAATTTCTTACGTGTATAGATGGTAAGATGTACTATATAAGGTTTGTCATTGCAGCATTGTTTTAATGGCATATAACTGCAAATGTCCACTGATAAAACAGTGGATGAATGTGGTATTTTCACTTGATCGAAGTCACTACTCTGATCTATATGATCTGTCCCCTGTCTTGAATACCGTTATTTCTTTGACCTCACTCTTACTACTGTCTCCCTGGTTCACTCTATGTTGGCTCTTTAGCCTCCTTACTGTTCCTCAAACATGCCAGACTCACTTCCATTTTATACTTGCTCTTTCTTCTGCCTAGAATGCTTTTCCTCAGAGCGTTGGTCAGCTCCCTTATTTTCTCTCTCTCTCTCTCTCTCTCTTTTGAGTTGAAGTCATACTCTGTCCACCTAGACTGGAGAGCAGTGGCACAATCACAGTTACTGCAGCCCCTCCAGCTGGACTTAGACAAGCCTTCTGCCTCAGCCTTCCAAGTAGCTGGGATTACAGGCACACACCACCATGCCTGGCTAATTTTTTTATTTATTGTAGAGACGAGGTCTCGCAGTGTTGTCCAGGCTGCTCTCGAACTCCTGGACTCAGGCAATTGTTTTGCCTCGGCCTCTCAAAGTGCTGGGACTGCAGGCGTGAGCCACTGTGCTTGCCCCCTTGTTTCCTTTCATTCTTTATTGAAAGTAGTCTTCTCAGTGAAACCGTCCCTGGCCACGTTACTCACATACCACACCTGCCCCTTTCTAGACATTTTCTGTCCTCTTTCCTTGTCTTTTTTCCTCTTAGCACTTATTGTTGAACATATTATATATACTATTTTAGTTTGTTATATATCTCCCAGTGTAATTTGAGCTCTACAAGGAAAGGTTTTTGATCTGTTTGGTTTACTCTTGAATCCAGATTGTCTGACAAGCTGCCTGACATTTAGCAGGTACTCAGTAAATATTTGTTTATTTAGTGAGTGAGTGAATGAGTCAATACTAGATTGTGGTTGAAATGAGTTAACTGGGTTATCAACATTTATAGATTTTTTTAAAGTGTTGAATGAAAGAAATCAGTAAAACCATGGGCTAGAAGAATACCTATAAGACTCATGATACGGCTTATTTCCGGGGAGTGAGAGAGGGAAAGAAGATTGAAGAGAATTCTAAAGAGATTTTAACCATAACTGTATAGTTTTGTTTCTTTCATTAAAAGAAAAAGAATCTGAGGCAAATATGGCAGAATGTTAATAGTTAGTTCTAGGTATCTGTCTGTATGTTAGTCTTTGTATTTTCCTAAATTATAAAAATTATAAAAATCTTACTAAATAAGACACAGAAAGGCACATGTGTTTCATACTTCATTTCTGGTTTTTAGCAGTTTGTTTTTAAGCCAGAGTGAGTAGAATCATAACATTTTAAGGCCTTAGAGAATTTACTGTTATTCATTACTTCTCTGAATATAGATTTCATTAGATTAGTTATAGGAGTTAATTTTATTTTGTTTAATGTTTTTTAAAAATGAACTTTTCCAGCCAGGTGATGGCTCATGCCAGTAATCCCAGCACTTTGGGAGGCCAAGGCAGGAGGATTGCTTAAGTCAAGGAATTTGAGACCAGCCTGGGCAACATAGTGAGACCATCAAAAAATTAGCCAGGTGTGTTGACCTGCGCCTGTAATCCCAGCTCCTTTGGGAGACTGAGAAGGGAATATTGCTTGAGCCTAGGAGGTCAAGGCTGTGGTGAGCCATGACTATGCCATTGTACTCTACCTAAGGTGACACAGTGAGATCTTGACTCAAAAAAAAAAAAAGAAAGAAAAAGAACATTTCCTTTATATTAGGAATAGCACATGATAAAAAAGAAAAACAGAATACAAAAGCATATAAAGTAAAAGGAGAAAAGTCAGCATGGGGACCTTTTTAAAAAGGCAGATTTCTTTGTCTTTTCCCTTCCCCCAAATGACGGGAGGAGGCAAAGAGTGTATCTAGGAGTATGAAGATAGTAAAATTCCTTAGGTGAACTTTTGCATTCAAATTTTGGGATCATTTTTTTAAATGCCTCATTTTACACATGAAGAAATTGAGTCCCAGAGAAGTAACATGGCTTGTGCAAGGTGTCATTGAAAGGCAAAGACAAAACTGGATTTAGAATCCAGCAGTGGATTGTCCTTCTTTTTGAGGGTGATCTGTTTGTTGCTGTTTTCATTATTTGTCATTCTTTTGCTTGAAACCAATTCTTTGCTGATCACTGAACCTGGCATTTTGTGGGTACTCTATCAATATTTGCAGAATGAGTGAATGATAGAATTCCAAACACTGAAACCCACATCATGATACTGGCTTTCTAGAGCTGCCTCTTGCTGTTGTAATCTATTACCAATTTAGAAAAAGAATATCAAACTTTTTGTTTTGAGAACTTTATGAAGGATGTTTTTGTTCCTGGCTTAGTTTCTCAAACATGAATATTCACTTTTTTTATTGGAATGTTTTGTGATGTGTCATATGATTGTAAAAATATTTTTGTAAATAAAAATATAAAACCATTAGTAAGTATTAACAAAATTTATAACTATATAACCAGGTTATTTTTCCTTTTATTTTACTGGAAAGGGATGCTCATTGAAGGATGGTATAAACTATAGAAGCACAAGTAGATAGAAGCACAAGTAGATCATACAATGTGCATTCTTTCCTTTGTTTTACTTTAGAATTAATTACAACCTTGAGTCTGTGTAGTCATACCTCCAAGATATAAGCCTGTAGAGGAAGGTACTCTGTAGATTTCTGAGGGTGGGCCATAATTTTCCTTCTTCCAGATAAAGAAGACTGATACAATGTGATCTGTCTCTAGACTTACTTTCAGGGTTTAGAGAGGGTGGGTCATTTGTCCAGAGTGAAGATTTTTATGGTAGAGTCAACAGATGTTTGTGGACATATTTTTGTGCATTGTGTCTTGATACATTTTATATGTTATACAAAACCAGTAACCTCACAGATTTCCTAAAGAACCTTTTAATTTTGAAAGGTATATTAGGAGTCTTTTGCTTGTGAATGATAGAAACCTAGCTCAGATTTGGCTTAAGTAGAAAAAGGAATTTATTGGATCATGTAACTGAAAAGTCTCAGACATGGTTGGATTCAGATCTGTAGACATTTTTCTTTTTGCTTCTCAGCCTTGCTTCCCTGTTTGTCAGTTTCATGTTTAGTCTTTTTTCTCCCTTTTCTCTGTTTCATTTTACATAGGATCTCGTTATATCTTCAAGTTCACCAGTCTTTTTTGCAGTGTCTCATCTCACTTTATTTCTAGTCAATATATTTTTCATCTTAAATGCAATAGCTTTCATCTCTAGAAGTTAAATTTGGGTCTTATATATTTCATATATTTAATATGTTCTGTCTTCCTTTAGCCTCTTGTGCATATGGGAGATAGTTATAATAACTATTTTAATGTCCTTGTCTACTAATTCTATCATCTGTTTCATTTGTGGGTTGTGTTCAATTGATTTTTCTCTTCATTACAGATCAGTTTCTTTTCATTTGAATACCTGATAATTTTTTATTGGATACCAGACATTGTAACTTTTTTGTTTGTTGCTGGATATTTTGTTTTTCTGTAAATATTTGAAATATTAGTCCTGGAATGCCAAAAAAATACTTGGAAGCAATGTAATACTTTGGGGTCTTATTTGAAGCTTTATTAGGACTACAGTGGCATTTAGTCCAGGGCTAATTTTTTCTCCACAACTGAGGTAAAACTTTTCTGAGTACCCTGCTTGATGCCCCATGAGTTGTGATGTTTTTCACCCTGGTTGGTGGAAATAGGCATTATTCCCTGCTTTGTGTGAGTTCTGGGTTTTGTTCCCTGGTAGCCTTTCAGGTGGTTCTTTTGCTAGCATTGGGCAGTTTGCCCTTCATGGATATGTTGATCAATACTCAGCTGAAGACTCAAGAGGGGTCCCTCTGCATTTCTCTGGAGTTCTTTCTCCATGCAACTCTCTTCTCTCTAGTCCTCTGTCCTATGAACTTAAGCTGCCTTGGTCCCATGGTCTCCCAGTTCTATCTCCTAAACAGAGAGTGACTGCCAGTCTCTGCCTGGGTTCCATCTTCTGACATAGAAATTCTCTTTAGTAAGCTGGAACAGTCATAGGGCTTATTTTGTGTGTTTGGTCATCTCTCAGGGGTCATTTTTTTTGTGCTTGTCTAATATCCAATGTTTTGCAAGCTATGGTTTTATATCTTTTGTCTTTTTTTGGTTTGTTTTAGGTAGGAGGGTAAATCTAGTCTCTATCACTCCATCTTGGACAGAAGAGAATGGTGTTAGAGAATAGGCTCTCTTGGCTTCATTTTTTTTTCTTTTTTTTGGAGTTGGAGTCTCTTGTCATCCATGTTGGAGTGCAGTGGCATACTCACGGCCACTGCAGCCTCGACCTGCTGGACTTAGGCAATCCTTCCACCTCAACCTTCCAAATAGCTGGAACTACAGACACACGCCACCACGCCTGGCTAGTTTTTTTGTGTGGTTTATTGTAGAGATGAGGTCTTACCAAGTTGCTCAGGCTTGTCTCGAACTCCTGAGCTTAGGCAGTCCTCTCGTCTCAGTCTCCCAAAGTGCTGGGATTACAGGTTGAGCCACCGCGCCCAGCCTTGGCTTCATTTTTAAAAAGACTTTTGTCATGTAGTAGGAGCCCCAAATCGATATTCGTAATATCTGTTAACTCCAGTTAAAGGAGAACCATTCTTAGTATTTATATAGTAAACCTGAGGGATGCCTCAGACTGATCCTGATTGAGTCATGTGCTCACCATGGATCAATTGCTATGACCTGGGAAATGGTGCATTTCTATTAGTCAGTCTCCTGAGTCACAGCCATGCTTCCACCCTATGGTTCATTGTTGGCATAGAGCACAGGAATTAACAATCCTGAAATTACAGTGAGGGCTAGAGATATAGTGGCACCCAAAACGAGAGGATGCTAGACAGTCAAACAATAGGGAATTCCATATATGTGATAGAGAATAGTGTCAAAGAAGAGCAAACCTTTCTATTGTAATTGGATTTAAGAAACCTAAGATATCTTTGAATTTAAGCTATTGAAACAACTTTAGCAAGGAGGTCTGAATAGACTCCTTTCTCAAACAATAGAAGTTAGACTGTATTTTATAATGTTTAGGGGAAAGGATTCAGAAAGGCGAGAAAAATTAGGGAAAAAGAGAAGAAAATTAAGTATTCTCTATAAATTTAGCAGGTTTGGTTTATGATCTATCATTGTTTCCTTTTTTTTTTTTTTTGAGTTGGAGTCTCGCTCTGTCACCCAGGCTGGAGTGCAGCAGCATGCTCACGGCCACCACAGACTCAACCTGCTGGGCTCAGGTGATCCTTCCACCTCAGCCTTCCAAGTAGCTGGAACTGCAGGCATGCGCCACTATGGCCAGCTAATTTTTTTGATTTATTGTAGAGATGAGGTATCACCAAGTTTCCCAGGCTGGCCTCAGGCAATCCTCTCACCTCGGCCTCCCAAAGTGCTGGGATTATAGACCTGAGACACTGTCTGGCCTTAGTTTTATTTAATTTATTCTTTTTAATTATAAAGTTGTGGGGTACAATTCAGGGTTAGATATACAAACATCGATTATGCAGGTACCCTTGTTGATGAGGTATACCCTTCCCTCCCCTAACAGTTTCTCTCATCTGCCAATCCCACCCCCCTGACAGTTTCCCACTACTGCCAATTCGCTAATCCCATCCCCCGACAGTTTCCCACTACTGCCAATCTCTTTCTTATAGTATTATAATTGTTCAAAGTCTGCTTATGAGTGAGAACATATGGTACTCTGTTATTTGTTTCTGTGACAGATTACTGAGTAATGATCGACTCTAAATCCATCCAAGTTGCTGCAAAGTCCGTATGTTTGTCCTTCTTTATGGCTGCATAATATTCCATTGTGTATATGTACCACATTTTTTTTTATCCAGTCCAGCTTCGATAGGCAGCATGGTTGGTTCCATGTTTTTGCTGTTGTGAACAGAGCTGCAACAAATACGTGTGCAGGTATCTTTTTTTGTAGAATGATGTGAGTTTCTCTGGGTATATTCCCAGTAGGGGAATTGCTGGGTCCTATGGAAGGGCAATTTCTAGTTTTTTCAGATATTGCCAAACTGTCTTCCAAAGGGGATGCACTAGTTTGCAGGTTTTTTTTTTAATGCAGTCATTTAAACTTTGACGTTGATAAATTTCTAGGGGATAGGATTTGACTTTGCAGCACATCTGAGAGATGTTATTGTTTTCTTATACCTCAGATATCAAGAAACAGGGCATCTACCCTTTAAGAAAAGTAGAGTTTAACAAAATGCCATCTGAATTGGGGTCTTTGATCTAATTCTGAATAGTCTATCTAAAAAGGCTCCAAAGAGTTTTTTAGGCTGGGTACAGTGGCTCATGCCTATAATCTCAGCACTTGGGGATGCCACAGTGGAAGGATCTCTTGAGTCCAGGAGTTTAAGACCAGTCTAGGTGATACAGCGAGACTTTATCTCTACAAAAAAAAATTAGCCAGTTGTGGTGGCAATACCAGTTGTCCCAGTTATTCAAGAGGCTGAAAAGGAAGGATCACGTAAGCATAGGAAGTTGAGGCTGCAGTGAGCTGTGATTGTGTCACTGCACTCCAGCCTGGGCTACAGAGTGAGACTCTGACTCAAAAAAAAAGAAAAGAAAGAAAAAAGGCTCCAGAACTCATAGGTTCACATGGTGCACCAGACCAAGATTATTTATGCACCAAACTTGTATAAACACATGCCCACATAACTGTTTCTGGCTCTTAGTGAAAAACTGACCTTTCTTAAAAGGGTCTCTTAGGGCAACCCTCTTGGGTCCCCTCCCATTATGGGAGTTTTCTGTCCTCTCAATATATCCGGTTTTCTCAATAAAAAAAAAGTCACTTAATTTTAATTTTATATTTTTCCTAGTTGCTCATTGGATGAGAATGTTTCTCATAAAAATATGTAGTAAAGAAGAAAGAACACTGGACCAGGTGTCCTAAAAGCAAGGTTCTTTGATATGCCCCTAAGTAAGTGTGACATTAGGCCAGCTTTTAGCCTCTTTCACTTGTAAGCACCTCTCCAGTGGTACTGTGCCTAAAATGGGAATTTGGTTTGTGAATAACTTGAAGGAGTGCTGGTTGAGTTAGTCCCAGGTTTTGGTACCATTAGCTTTTGAGATGAAAAAGTTCAATAGAAGATTTCCAAAATGTATAAATGGAGCCAGTAAGGATTTTGGTTCTGTAGCAAAAAACAAACAGAAAAACTGTATCCTTGGAATTAAATCAGTAGATTTTGTACTTTTTCTTAAAGCCAGGAACTACACTTAGAAAATAATTGAAAGCTGATTGAAAGAGAGAGAGATGGGTAGAAAATCTAACTTGAGTGCACCCCTCAACTGTGCTGCACTCTTCAGATGTATTGGAAAACTACCACACAAGCTGATTGTTCCTTCCACTCTGAAAACCTTTTGATTTCCAAAGTATAGGGGATGTGATGACTTAGGGACTGTTAGTGCCTTAAAGTATCTTGAAAATATTAAGTTATTTATTTATAATAAATGTCTTTTATACTTTATCTGGCATAAAATACTATTTTATTTTATATTAGTAAACTATAACAAATTGAGTTGCTTCCTGGGGGTACAAAAATCTCAAGCACAAATATTGATCCTCAGTTATTTAAAATTATTTGCCTATTCATAACTTTTTATTTAGCTCGTTAGGTAATTTTGTTTCCTAAGGTATTATTAACATTTTTATATATCCTTCATGATAAGGGCCTAATCTAACATTTGAAGTAATGAATCAGTTTTCACCAAAATATTTTTTCTTATCTATTTTCTTTAACTTAAACATATTTTTGAGAAAAAATTAAATTTATCTTTTGGAACAGGGTCACTATCGTTATTGTGATGCTCTTTCTATGCTGGGGGAATATGACTGGGCCTTGCAAGCAAACATAAAAGCTCAAAAACTCTGTCAAAATGACCCTGAGGGAATCAAGGATCTAATTCATCAGCACATAAAGTTACAGAAACAACTAGAAGACCTACAAGGTATTCCATCTAAGATTCTGTTTGGTTATAGTTGAATTCCCTTAAAACTTTGGAAGACAGGTTTCTTAGATTAATGGAGAACCATAAATCAATTCTCAGATGACCTGTCCTTATTTTGTTATCTTGGTCATGTCACTTAAGTTTTTCATTTCTATCTGTGTGGAATTGCATTACTATTATATTCTATTAGGTAATTATAAATGATGTAAACTTTTTATTTGAAACAGCAGCTAAATTGTTTTTATTCTTCTGTAGAAAAAGATCCCTTCTAGATATTTTGAATCAAATAAAAGCTCTTTGAAATAGTTATTTTAAATTTTTTCTCCATTATTAAAGTTATTTCCTAAAGAAAAGGCCCCTCAGTAGAGTTGCTTGATGTTTTTGCACCAACTTTGTGACTAATTGCATAGCATGCTGAACATGTATACATTTTGAAAAATATATACAACAGAAATTGGCTGTGCAGACTAGGAGTTGCAGATTTTCATTTTGCCCTTGTTTTCTAAGTCATTTTTGCTCTCTGCAATGCCTGAAATTCCCTTAGTCTACATTGTCAGCATAGGGTCTTTCCCTTTTTTTCTTCTTTGGATATTTAGTGTCTAATGGAGCTGAGCTGAACAGTTCTATTTCACTGGCAGATATTCAATATAACATGATTATAAGATTATGAGCTCCTTGAAGACAGGTATCGTCTCTCATTCAGATTTATATATTGCTATCATCTTGTTAAAAGATCACTCATGCCGGGCTCGGTGCCTCAGCCTGTAATCCCGTGCCTTTGGGAGGCTGAGGTGAGAGGATTGCTTGAGCCCGCGGGTTCGATACCCGCCTGGGCAGCAAGACCTCATCTCTACAATAAATCAAAAAATCAGCTGGGCGTGGTAGCGCATGCCTGTAATTCCTGCTACTGGGAAGGCTGAGGCGGAAGGATCGCCGGAGCCCAGCAGGTAGAGACTGCGGTGGCCGGGAGTGGCCACTTCACTCCAGTCTGGGCGACAGAGTGAGACTCCAACTCAAAAAAAAAAAAAAGATCACTCGTGATAGACTGTCAGACAAGGTTTGTGTAACATTTTGTTGACACCATTCTAAAACTAAAGACATCTAGAAGTGTAATATTGCTTAGGTTTGCTTTTCCATTTTCTAAATTTGATGTTCTTATTATCGGCTTAAATTTGAAATTCTTTTGCTGTCTGTGTTACCAATCCATTGATTACTGTGTGTGTGTGTGTGTGTGTGATTGACTTTTATAGGTCGAACACCAAAAAAGAATCCAGTTAAAACCTTTTATGAAAACAGGTGAGTTAATAGCAGGTCAGTAGCTGCTACTAGGAGTGGCTTTGCCCCATAAAGTTAAGAATCACTTATATTTGACACTTTAGGAACTAATGGCAACCACAGTAAATTTAGGGATGGAAGGAAGGAAGGTGGTTTTTTTTAATGTGTTTAAGATCAGGTGACCTGTAAGTTGTCAGATTTATTTTACTATTTTACCGAGCCATATGAATATGTTTGTCTGGAGATCAGTAGCCTTATCCTATGGGAAAAGAGGAGTGAAAAGTTAATTGAACATTAATTACTGTGCTTGAATGGGACCAGCTTGGCCATGAGAGTCTTGGCATCTGAAAGCTGGGACTCAGCCTGTGCCCTGTGCCCTTCACCTCTGTCTTGGAAACATCTGCCTTCAGCTTTCAAAGGCAAATAGCTTTCATGTTAGAAATAGGTAACAGACTTGATTATACTCACAAGAAAACAGAAGGAAGCTAGGGTTCTATCTCTGTTTATATGGCAATTAAAATAGATTGTGCTTTTTTTCCCATGTGCTTGTTTAGATGCCTAGGTTTTGAAGCTTCTAATTCTATAGTGTGCTGAGCATATAGATATATTTTATATATATGTATGCATCAGAAATAGGGCTGCAGACTTTAATTTAAATTTAACTTAAATTTGTCTTAAATTAGGAAATTTAAAACAAGAAAACTGTTATTTTAATTTTAGAATCCAGAATGCTTTTATTTTTTGAGACTCTGCCACACAGGCTGGAGTGTAGTAGTTCTGTCTTGGCTAACTGCAGCCTCTATCTCCTGGGCTCAGGTGATCCTTTCACCTCAGCCTCCTGAGTAACTGGGACTACAGGTGCTTGCCACCATGCCCAGCTAATTTTTCTATTTTTTGTAGAGACGGGGGCTTGTTATGTTGCCCAGGCTGGTCTTGAACTCCTGGGCTCAAGCAATCCTCACACCTCAGTCTTCCAAAGTGCTGGGATTATAGACATGAACCACTGTGCCCGGCTAGAACCCAGAATATTTTTTAGAACTGTTCTTAATTTATTTTGAGTTTAGTATCAAACTTAACATAATGTTTACATATAAAGCCCATTCAGATGTAGAGAATCTTTAAAGAAAAAAATATTCATCTATTTATTTATTTATTTTTTAAGAAAGAGAGTCTTGCTCTGGCACAGTCATGGCTCACTGTAGCTTCAGTCTCCTGGGTTCAAGTGAAGAACCTTTTTAAAACACTGATACCTTGCTTTCAAGGAAAAAATGCTGTGATTACTGCAACAATGTGTTTGCTTGAAGGATAACTTTTTAAAAATGCATCATAATTAATAGGAATAAAACGATTGCTCCTTGTTTCTCTCACTTAGGGCCTACACACCTAGGAGTTTATCAGCACCTACATTTAGTACTTCACTTAACTTTGTGGAGAAGAAAAGAGATTTCAGAAAAGTTAACCATGAAATGGCAAACGGTGGTAATCAGAATCTACAGGTAAGCTCCACTAAAAATAGAAATTGTTTCAAGTATTGTATAGGTTATCTCTTATTTTTATAATAATATTTTGATGATAATGACAACCAAATATTTTGATGGTATGAAGCCTTTTTGCCTACTGATACCAAAATAATGATTCTCTTTTAACAAGTGATCTGGATATTTCATACAACTATGTAAAGATAATATTTCAGACGTTTGAGATTTCTTTTGAAATCACGTATTTTCAAAATATTTTTTCTAAATATCATTTTGCCACTTAGTGTTCATTGTATGTTCTCCCTTCACGTTTCTAAGCAGTCACTGGGAATGAGTGACAGTGGGGTCTGTGGGCCAAGCCGCCCCTAACCCTCACAATATTTTGGGTTTTTCTTTATCTTCCTTTTCCCTTTTGAAACCTAATTTGCCACCTGACACGTACCAGTCTACCACCCAACTTGGGTCAGATTGGAAGGCACCCTTCTCTTCCTCTTTCCAAGGTTTTTCTCAGTCTTTGTTGCCCTCAGCAGCAGTAATGCTAGCCTTTGATTTATTGCTGTGCTCAGCAGAAGTCTTAGTCTGACTTTTTCTTCTGAGTGTCACTAAGAGCTTCTAGCCTGACTCTGTCATCAGGTGTCCCAGATAACCTGCTCCTGAGTTCTCCTCTGAACTGTAGAATACACAAAGTCCTTATTTAGATCTCTCTTCAGGGTTTGAGGAGGTAAAAAGAAAATAATGTTTTGGCCTTGGGTGGGTAGATGGGCATCCAGGGGAACTTTTCCAACCCACTGTGTGGTCCTTTTATTGATAATATTGAAAATATCTAAGAGTCTGTGTTCAGTGAAGGAGCAGAATATAGAGAAGATGTGATAGTATTCATTCAGTACAGACATTACTGAACATCCTGACATGTTAGCCATCATGCTAGGCATTAGAAATAGAGTGGTCATTCAAGAATTTGCCATTATATCATGATCTCTTATCATCAGTTATCCTTTTTTTGCTTATTTATACATTCAGGCTTAATAACCAGCTGCATATTTTGTTTTTTTGTGTTTTTTTGGAATTGGAGTCTCATTCTGTCACCCAGACTGGAGTGCAGTGGCTGCTCCCAGCCACTGCAGCCTTGACCTGCTGGGCTCCGGCGATACTTCTGCCTCTGCCTTCCAAGTAGCCGGAATTACAGGCATGCGCTACCACACCCAACTGATTTTTTGATTTATTGTAGAGATGAGGTCTCGCTGCCCAGGCAGGTCTCAAACCCGTGGGCTCAAGTAATCCACTCACCTTAGCCTCCCAAAGGCGCGGGATTACAGGCTGAGCCACCGAGCCCGGCTATCAGCTGCATATTTTAAGTGGCTAGGTGAATTCTTAGGTGGTGGCTGTTCAGGTCTTCATGGCTATACTGTTTTTTGAAAGTCTTACTAATTTTATTTTCGTGGGCAGAATGTAGAAGAGGCTTCAAAGGTAGACAATTATGACTGTCATCCTGAATTTCCACCACCACCAAGTGAGTATTTTTTTCTTATACAAATTGTTGCTGAGTTAATGTATTTCTATACCTTTATGTCCTAAAATTTGCACAAGCCTCAGGTATATTTGCTGTTGTTTCCCTTTCACTTTATAATAAGAAAACATTGACTGTTTTATTTGAAATTAATGGTGTCTTCTTATATTATTTAATAAATTTAATTTTTGAAATTCAAATAAAAGAAATGGAAAAGTCGAAGTACATAGCTCTTTTTGGTCTGCTTTTTCATTTCTTTTAGTCTGTTGTTTCTTATTATTGAAAGTTTTCTTTATTGCCTCCCCTCCTCCCACCCTTGAGGAGCCTTCTTATTAGACCTTTTTTTTTTCCTAATTGGTCTTTCCCATGAAATTTTAATACCACAAGTACTGTTTATCTGCTTATGTGCTGTATGTGCATCATATATATATATATATATATATATATGTATATATATAATATATATATTTACTAATTTTCACCTTATTGGGGGTGGTATTTCCCATGTTGAGAATGAAAGCTTGTCTTAGTCCATTTGGGCAGCTATAACAAATGTACCATAAACTGGTAGCTTATAAACAACAAACATTTATTTCTCACATTTCTGAAAACTGGTCATGTTACTAGCAGATTCAGTGTCCACTGAGGGCCCTCTTTCTGGTTCATCACTGGCTGTCTTTTTGCTGTGTCCTTGCATGGTAAAGGGGGCACTCAAGTTCTCTTGTAAAGGCTCTGCTTTATAGCCTAATCACCTGCTATTCATAAAGGCTCTGCCTCTTGACCTAATCACCTCCCAAAGATTTTACCTCCTTCTACCATCACCTTGGGGATTTGGTTTTCAACCTGTGAATCTTGGGGGTGGGACACAGACTTTCGGACCGTAACAGTGCTTTAGGCTAATTCTCATTTATTTTAAAATGTGTGTACCCAGTGCATTTTTTTTATGTATCTGGTAAACACAGATACACAACAGGACCTCGTAATTTGGCATCATTGGGAGTTGAAGGGTTCCAGAGAAGTGATTATTCTTCATTTGTTTCTGATTTTTCCTTCATACTACCAGATTTTGATGAAATTCTTTCTAAAGTGGATTACATGCTTCCCTGTCTTTTAGAACAGAGTTTAAGCAGATACAGATTTCTTTTTGATGGTTTAAGATTTTTTTTTGTTTTTTGTTTTTGAGTCAGAGTCTCACTCTATCGGCTAAGTTGAAGTGCAGTAGCAAACCAGCCTCAACCCGCATGCTGTGCTCAGGTGATCCTACCACCTCAGCCTTTCAAGTAGCTGGAACTACAGGTGCATGCCACCATGCCTAGCTAATTTTTTGGTTTATTGTAGAGACAAGGTCTTACCAAGTCACCCAGGCTGGTCTTGAACCCTTGGGCTCAGGTAATCCTCTCTCCTTTGCCTTCCAAAGTGCTGAGATTATGGGCATGAGCCAC